ATTCCACTCATCGGGAATCTTCTTTCCTGCTTCGATTTTATTGAACAACATTCGTATAAAGGATACTATCCTTGCGCCTCCATATTTCAGCAGTTCCATTTTTAATATCCTTGGTCCTGGTGCTTTATTGTTTTTGGATTTCTTTAGTGCTTTATTTATATCTTCCTCTGTGATTTCTGCTTCCTCAGTTATTATTGTCACAAGGTCGTATGAGATATACTCCGGCCTATTCTCCTTCAATAATCTTGTGTAATGCTTTGTCCACTCTTTTAATGTAATTATCTGTATGGTATTTTTACTTCGTTTATTACTTCTGATGTTTTTTATTTTTTTTTTCCATGCTTCCGTTGATCTGTTATACCCTATCCTGTTGTCTATGTCGCTGCACATTCTCTCCCAGTATTCGTTTTTCTCGAGCTTTATTCTTTGTTTAACTTGTTGTCTGAGGGTAACATATTCTCCCCGTGTTCCTGGGGTTCTGTCGTTTAGCCATTTATGAAATTCTCTTTTTTTTTTCTTTTAATCATCTATTCTAAGTCGTCACTGTATTTCTCCAAATATGTATTCTTGTGTTGTTCAATACCCAGCACTTCGTTTGCCGCTTTGTTTATTTTTTCCTTTAGGTGTTAATACATTTCTGTTGGGGTTCATTATTCGTTCATCTGTAGCATATTCTGTAGCCTATTCTGATATAGTATATTAAAGTACTAAATTGTTGTAGAAGTTTTACTTTATACCTCGTATTTGCGATTTTTTTGCATCTCCTCATCTTTCTGGATATTGTCTTTTTGTCGTCTTCAAGTGTATATGAATTTTTCGATACGAAACGAAACTAAAAACAGGATATAGAAATTAAAAAAAAGACCGATAATGACGTACACAGCGGAAACAAGAGCAGATACGGCGAAAACACAAAGACTGCTGGAAACAACAGAAATGAAAGTCATACGAAAAATAATAAACCCAACTCTAAGAGACAGAGTAAGAAGTGAGGAAATACGAGCGAGATGTGGTATAGAGGAAATAAACGAGTGGACCAAATGAAGAAAAGTGGAATGGAATCAACACATCGAAAGAATGACAGAAAATAGAATAGTACGAATGGCAAGAGACAAATCGCCAAATGGAAGATCATTGGGCCTACCGAGGAAAAGATGGTCAGACAACGTCAATTCAGGCTAAAAACCGAAGTAAAACAGACATTAAGCATATTTATAAAGTAGGAAGAAGAAGAAGAAAAACATGTATAAGATATTTTCACGTTATTTTTTTCTTTACTAGCCTATTACCCTCTCTCATCACTATAACATGTATCTATTGTACGGAAAGTATCCAGTAACAACGCAGCACTGCATATTTGGGGACCAAATTCAACTCTTGTTGACGCAGACTTTCTTCTTAATATGTTTGATAGGATTCCGAATTTTTATTAATCTTTCTATTTTTTCAACTTTATCATTTGTATTGATTTGCTATATTTTTAAATATTTTAATTGTAAATTTTTAATAACGCAAAGTCCACATTTTCTATTGTTTCCCATCGCTCTTGCGAAACCGCTGAATCCTTTCGCTATTGTTATCAAGTCCTCCAAGCTCCATAAACAATTTCACAATATAATTTTATATCTCTCGAAGAAATCCAATTACGACTTCCTAGTTGATTCAGTCACCATGGCATGGCAAATCGTGAGAATCGGAATTTTTATAAGGTATGTAAAGTAGTTGTAGTTCGCGTCTCCAGTTACTATTTCAATGTTGATTGGGACGGGATTGGTGAATTCCATTCTATTTTCTCTGTAGACTCGCTTACACGCCATTGTTTCGAATACATTGTTCCTAGAGAATGTGAAATATACCTACAAGAATGTGTGTGTCTGTGGTAATACGAGAATGATGGCGTGGGGCACTGACATTTTACAAGGTGCCCATATAAGGATCGCATTTCATTGCTTTATGTAAAATAAGAAAATGTACATATTATCTACATCGTCGCTGCAGAAAATATTAAATATCAAAATTGCCTTTGTCTTTTTTTGGGGGGTTCGTAAATATCAAGCGACTCCAAAATGTCACTGCGTATATACTGGAAATTTCTATCATTACGAAAATCTCTGAGATTTTGCCCCAGTCTTATTATTCTATTTTTGGAATGAATAATGTCAGTTAACTGATTTTGAACAACATTGAATATCAAATCGGTTTGGGTAAACACTTTCTTAAAAATATTTAAAAGTATGTTAAAAGAGTAATCATTTAATAAAGTTTTCAAACCGATTGCTTCACGGATCGAGATATCATCACTTTCAAAATCATCACATTCAATAATAAAATCAAAAACTTCCAAAAGCTGTTCACGAAAATCTGCTACAGTGAAAACTAACCGAGATTTAAAATTCCATCGCGTCTGACAAACTGTTGGCATTTTTTTCGAAACAAACCGTTCTAAAACATTAGTCCGTTTAGGCGAGCTTGAGAAAAATGAAGCAAATCCGCTTAAACTGGCAAAAAAAAGACGACATTCTTTAATTTTTTTACATGTATCTTGCAAAACTAAATTCATTCTATGCGCATGACAATGAGTAAATAAAGCTTGCGGTGCAATAGTTTTAAATTTTGCCTGGAGACCATTTAATTCACCAGACATCACGGCAGCGCGCCGTCATAAGTTTGCCCTACCAATTTATTTTTGATATCAAAAAATTTTTATCTGTCCTTTAAAATACCAAAAATATGTTCTGCCTTATGGCTTTTACTCAAGTAAAACCTAAAAACGTATGTAAAACCTAAAAACCTCTCATAGATATTAACACATAACGCGTATCGAACAACAATTGATAATTGTGAATGACATGATATGTCGGTAGTTTCATCTACTTCTAGTGAAAAGCAAATGGTTTCCTGAATCTCAGATTCAATAACGTTACTCAAAATGTAACTAATTGATTCTATTAATTCATTCTGGATTGTTTTAGATACACCGCTAAATGTCTTCGAATCAGAAAGTAAATTAGAAAATTCCAAATCGTATTTCTTAAACATTTTTATTAGTTCTCTATAATTACCTTGATTTAACGAAAGCTCCGATTCATCGTGTCCCCTAAAAGATAATTCCTGACAATTTAAAAAAATTACAATATCAATTAAACGACGTAAGACTGCGTGATTATTTTTTACAATTTCGTTATGTTTAATAGCATTTTCACATTGGGCATTATCTAATGAAACATGGATATTTTTGTTTTCCAAATAAATCTAATTTAATCTGGCTGTAAGTATGATCTTTCGAAATATCATGTTTATGTAAAGCCCTAAATAATTCCTTTAAATTATCGTAACCAGATTCACACCACGGATTTTGATGTTTGCCCCTATTTGTCGAAAATAAAATGCAAGGCCAACAGAAAAGTTTGTTTTTTATTTCACTCCCGGTAAGCCATGAGTACTTGCTGTACCAATTATCTGAAAATGATCTATTACCTCCCTTACCCGCACTAATATTTATAAGCCGGGACATTTTAGGCAAAGGACGCCCCTTATTTTTAATAATTTGTTCTTCATATGGAATAGATGAAAACCCATTATGCAAAATATAATTTACAATATCAGGCTTATCAATACTTACAGTTTCTCCCATGGCTTGCAATTTTTAGGTGTTTACTGAATTTGTTTACAATTTAATTAAAAAAAAACTTCTAATATGTCAAAAAACTTTTTAACCTTTAACTATTTATGGTAGACGTAACGTATCACAGTATTACGTTAGAAAATAAAAATAAACCACAAAAAGAAAGGCTAGTTCGTGCACTCGATATCACTTCAGATTACTACATATATGAAATAACATTTCGTCCCACGCTCGCAATGTACAGTTCGCGACCAATCACCAATCCAAATGAAACATCGGCAAATTTAAATTTGCCGTACTTGGTAATTCAGTTCGTATGGAAAGAAATGTACATTTGGTTGCTAATCAACCAATATTCCGTTGATTTTTACAAGTAAAGTCAAGGTTGGGATCGGCTAACCGAAAAAACAAAACGTACCTTTTTAAGAATTCATAGGCGGATGGATGTCTCCGATATCGGAACATCTATTTGAAAAGTATCTACGCAGGGATCACTTAACGCTCAGATTGGACGAATTCTTTTAAAAACCATGAATAAAATTTAGTCTTTATTATCTCACAGATATTTTTTTAGCTCACAAAAACAAATGACATCAACTGATTACCTGCCACAATTATTTATTGAAATACTGATTAAATTAAATATTAAAATAATCTATAATATCTATAAAGATGTGAGTCGGCACTGCCGACCCTGACCGGCCGCCACTGCTGGACGATATTGCATTTTTCATAGCATTGATACAACTCAAAATTGTAGCGCCTGCGCCATATCCCGCTTTCTTGTACTCCTCCGTATATGTGCCTAAGTATTCTTTTTTCAATGCGGCCTAACAGTTCTTCGTCGCTTTTTTTAATAAGAGTTTCATATATTAGTATCTTGGTTTTTCTGCTAATTATGTGTGTGTTAAGAACTGCTTTAGTCCAAAGTAAGCTCTGTTCGCCAGGTATATTCTTCTCTTAATTTCCAGGCTTATTAGGTTGCTGTTATTTTGTTGTGTTCCAAGATATATAAACTCCGAGACATCTTTGAATGTGTGTGGTTCTGTCACCAGATCTTGTGGTGTCGCTATTTGTGTGCTGTTCTTGACCTTCATGTATTTTGTTTTGGATACGTCGACCTGCAGTCCCATTGTCTTCGCGGCTTTTTCTAATGTTTCAAAAGCCTGTATCAGGTCTCTTTTTGTCCGTGTTACTATGTCAATGTCATCTGCGTAGGCCAATATCTGTACACTTCTATTGATGATCGTAACTCTGGTTGTTATGCCCGATTTCTCTATGGCTCTTTCTAGCGCGATGTTAAACAATAGGCACGATTCTTTGACCTGAATAATTGTATTGTATATGTATATTTAAATGACTTTTTCTTTTGCAGGACTAGATTGGGAGAGAGGATGGTTAGTATGAACTCAACGCTAGTGGAAACGGTTAGCATCAATTACGAAGATTTCAACGAGAGCTTTTTAACATGTGGAACGTGCTTGTGTAAGTATACAAATATTTCTACATCATATTTTTATAATAGAGATTGTTGCAATTCGTTGTCGTCAATTAAAATTACGAGTTTTCTTTAAAGGCATTGTATAAAAAAGCTTTAGCCCGTAGTTATGCCGATCTGGACCCTAAAATCCTATAAACTAATTGAACAATGACACTAAACAACATATTTTGTTGTTGCAGATCGCATTTGGAATGGTTCGTTATTATTTTTTTTATTATTTGCATGTTAACTTGTTTTTATTTCCATTAGTTTAGACCAATGCACGCAAATTGCTTCAAAACTCACTACTGTTAAGATAACACCATTATAAACACAATAATTGTTTTTTTACTTAGGCAATGATATATTTGTGGGATATTGCACAGTATTTACTGCATTAATAATCTTTCTACACCTTATTTGGTATTGAGGGAGATAGGTATAAATTGTGTTTTAGTTAAATTGCAAAGCAAAAAGAAGAAGAACTGTAGGGCACTCCTTGATCGAACCCTTGTTCGAAAATATCAAATTAAGTTTGATGCTGCAAAAGATAACACTGCCTAAACGCTGAAATGGGAAGATTAGCCTTACCTATTAAGAAGACAAATATGTCGTCATTTATGCCTGTCTTGAGCCTCCTCTTTCTCCAAATTCCTGTGCTCCGTTGTCTTCCTGATATTTACCTTCAAAGACAGTCTTATTCTTCCTTTTTTACGCGTTTCTGGTGGATTACATTTAAATAATTTGCTGAGTTGTCTACTTTTTTTACTTGCAGAAGATTCCGGAACCCATTGAAACCTTTCCTTTCTATTTAAGAATTTAAGGCCCACACTTTACTTTCATATGTTACGACCGAGTTTACAAATGCTCTTCCAATTCTAAAGTTGAGTCCTTAGTCACTTTCCACAATTTTGATCTTGGTACATTTCCTACATCTTTTCTATAAAGGCGATGTATATTTTTTTATCAAAAGTCAAATTTTTCTGCAATTTGTTGTATAATAAAGAGATTATTAACATAGGACCTTCTAGATCTGACACCATTTTGGTCTTCAATTATCTTTGGATCCGTTACCATTTTTTATCTGTTTTTTTGTTGTTGTCTTGCAAGAAAATTTAGTTATTATGCCATCTGGTCTTAGAGCTCCACCATTTTTCATAGTATTTACTGCTGTCCATACTTTGTGGATATTTCCAAGTGAACATAATGTTCTAATATATTCTACTGAAGAACACACCGAAGATGACACCACGACATCGAATGAACCTACAAACGAAGATGACAGTATGACTACAATGACACAACTTGACAATAACAGTCAAAAGGACAAACAAAATCTAGCTCCCCTGCCAAAACGCAGAGCACCAGCCAAAAGAAATTTTAATGAAACTGATGATAAAATGATGCCCTACATTGAATATCAGATAAAACCGAAGAAAATTGAGCAGGATGATCGCAATTTATCGTTCTTCAAAGATATTTTGCCGTCCTTGGCTTTGCTTGATGATGACCAAACTAAGTCAGTCAACTTATGAGTGGTCAGCCTATACACAAACATCTGGTGCTAGTCACTATCAATCCCAGGGCTATTTTAGCAGACCATAGTGCACTATCGCCAGTACAATATGTATACAGTGATGCTAGCAGACTACAGCCTACTGATTATGCACTATCGTCAGTACAATCTGTATACAGTGATGCTACGTTAGTAGATCTGTCTGAGTTTTAAAAATAAAAGTACGTACCTTAAAAATATCGCTAATTTTTCTTCTCGGCAGATACCTTTCCTCCATCGAGTATCTTGCTTTTTTAAATCCTTTTCCAATAGTTTAAGAAGTTCATCAAAAGTAGACATTGACATACGAAAGTAATTGCAAAATTTAGATTCATCACCTCGTAACTGACTCATAAGTAAACTGTAAGCACCCTCTCTAGATCTTTGGGCCATAAGTGGATACTGCCAATAACGTCGAATCTTCCTTCTTCGACGATATTACCAATAAAACACGACAGCGTCCATCCTTGTAGAATAGCGGCTTATACACTGCGAGTTTTCTGTTAACATCGCATCCAGTAATGACGGATCCGTTGAACGTTATACGATGCCTATGGGTACAGAACATAAATTTATGACGTATCCGTTAAAAAGGAACCAGTAAAACGGTCTCCAATGTGTGAACGGGCCATAAAACAGTAGGTTCTATAGGGTAGTCAGAGGGCCATTGACTTTCAGGGGATTTACGTTCTGGTTCAGAAACCCAGAATCCCTAATTTAATTTCTACGCTACATAATGACCCACTTCGTCTCCAATACAACTTCTCTCCTTAACAACAACCAAACATTTATTATTTACATATCTGATAAATTTATCTAATTAAAAAAGAAGAAAGAACCATTTTTATCAATAATCGTGACGTTCATTTAAAAAAGAGCTCTGACCCCTTGTAAACCAGCTGCCATCTGCGTCGATTCACCCATTTGAATAAACTGCCTTTTAAAATTAAAGTAATTACAACATTGGCCACCAATTGATGTGCCAATTGTTTGAATAGTGTCGAGGGTCATCAGCCAATCAAATCAAGTAATGTTTAAATATAGAATGCATAAAAGACAAAATCTGTATTGTTTTAGTGTTCTCGTTAATACGAAAGACAAACAAGTATTTGTTATCTTTTTCAATAACATGCTCATTAGTTCATTGATAATGAATTCAGTTTTTTGTAAACATTTACAAAGCTGGTCAATAATGTGTACTACGGCTGGAGCCAAAAAATAAACACAAGAGAATGTTTTATTATTTTATATAGTAAATATAATTAAATATATCTTTCATCCATTAAATTTATTAGTTAGGACAATGTAAGCTGTTCTATTTGTCTTCTATACTCAATTCTTTGATAAAATTTCGGTAAACAGTTTTATAAAAAATCACTATGTTTCATTTCAGGTATGTACGATGGCCAGGAACACACACCGAAGCTCCTCCAATGCTCGCACACCGTTTGCTTACACTGCCTTACCCGGATAGCAGCCTCCCAAACCCGAGACACGGGCACCTTCCGCTGTCCGATATGTAGGGAACTGATCCACATCCCCCGCGGAGGGGTATCCGCCCTTCCGCCTTCGTTTCTAGTCAACCAACTGCTGGATTTAATGTCGAGACAGCGGAGGGAGGTGATTCCTAAGTGTTCGGTGCACATAAACCAAGAATTGTTGTTCTGCGAAACTTGTGATACCGTTTTCTGTACCCTTTGCACCGGGGGATCCCACAATGACACGACCACGAGCTGCGAGCACACCATCATACCCTTTTCGATAGCTATAAAGCGGATGTCCGAGATTTTGCTGTACAAAGCCAATGAATGTATTTCTAAGGTAACTTCTTTTGAACTACTTTTTAATCAATTTAGTCACTTCTATCGGTTTATATGAAGACAGCGTATAGGATAGTTTGCCAGTTTAGGTATCGCAATCACTTCCGCCAAACTTCGGAAAATACTAAGTTTTTTTGCTTTAGGTTCAAGACCTGTTTAGCTAGCCAATTGGTTGAATAATTAAAAACAGTTAGCTCTCATACTTCTTTTTTTGTCTGACAATTTATTATTTCGTTCATTCACTCAATTTCATAACCATCCCATTGAAAACACCATTGGTGATTGTATAAAAAGGATTTAACCTGGACAGACGCTAAGCTGGACTTTTTTTAAACAAACAGAACAGGAAATGGCGAAAGATAAATGACATAAAAGGAAAGACAGTCGGAAATACTACAACTAAAGTCCTACCATTTCGCATGCACAAAACATTCCGATACTAGTACTACCCCAACATCATATTCAGACAGGTCTGCCGACAACATGGCGACCGTTACTTCAGCAACCCCCGCGCCAACCGATCCTGGTACGACCGCGCATACTGAGGGTATAAAAGTAGCTACACTTTTTAGTAGCCAAATTGAAACTTCACTGCTGTTTGACGGTTCTCGTACTTCTGGAGAACAAAATACTGGTACGTCACGAGTGAGAAGAGCAGACATATTGAGACTCCGAACTCGAACGGAACTGTATCACTCTTGATAATACGTCGAGTTTTAAATTCTCAAGGCGATTCTTCCCGAGAACTTAGTAATTTTCATTTACCTGTCATTTCACGGAATTACTCCATCCAGTGGGTAAATCCGCGCAACGTTGGGATAACTCCGCGCATCGTTTGGGGTAACTCCGCGCATAATTAAAAACGCTGCATCGGTACCATAGTTAATTGTCTTTTCCTGTAACACAAATGTTTTCCCTATAATTGACATCTACATCATAAAGTTCATCATCGTCGCAATTTTACTTTTTACGAAATTTTACTTTTCGTATATGTTTAATTTTTTGGTTTTTGGGGTTCCTTATCATTATCTTCTGCCTTTTTTTTCAACATTATCCAATTGTTTTTTCATTGTAATATCTGGAAGAGGAGATATTTCTTCAATCGAGATATCAAAAGTTGGAGACGAACATTTAGACTGAACAACATGTTTACCAAGAGTTAAGGAGACATCGGGTGAGATGACTCAGCGTTATCAAGAACTGATGCTGAACAAACATGAATGTGTCTAGGTTTTTTGGGAAGTGACTGAGAATAGCCATTAGATAATAATTAAGAATGAATGTGGGATGTATTAGGATCCACTGGAAACCCACTGAGTCTTCTCCTTTTTATCGATTATATTTGGTTGAACATGTTCCTCTGATAAAACGATCTTTATCTGATTTACCTAATTCATCATGGAATTTATCTTAATCCAACAGATCAGATATAGCTTTATCCATTGTAGCCATAGAGTTAAATATTTCAGCAAATTTATAGTGAGTTATTTTTACAAGCGGATGTGCTCTTATTTATATGTCATACTGTTTATTATAGCCTTTGTTGAGGAGATCATAAAGTGCCAAATTTAAGGGTTGTAGCCTATGGGACGGATGAAGAGGTATGAACACCAACACAATGCCATTGTTTTTGCACAAATCATATGATGACAATGATCTATGGCTGGAATGAGTATCTTGAATCAAGAGTACCGGTTCTTCTTTGGAATGGATTTGCATGGTGTTGAAAATGTTTTAGCCATTCAGTGAATAACGTTTCGTTTATCCAGCCATTACTTGAACATTAATATAAAGCATCTGCTGGGCCAGTTCTTTGAAGTTCTTTAATCGTTCTTTTCATTGGGAAAATAGACATTGGTGGTACATAAGACTGATGCACTGAAAGCACAAAGAATAGTGACCGTTTACCTCTTTTTTAAGGAATTCAGCGACCCTTCATTTTTGATCTTGTTCTTCCACAATCTTCACTGTACAGTAGTAATATCGATCTCATCAGTATTATAAATACGGTCTTGAGTATATTTATATTTATTCATCACAGTTTCAGCATTATTAAAAAAAAGTTTTACTTCTTCCAAGTTGAATGCAGTAATTATATTCAGGCTTGTAGCTTGACGTTGGCGTAACCTGATCTGTGGATTTCGCTGCATGATTAGTGCTAAACAATCTCTTCCTGCCGTTTTTTCTGTATTAAAAACATGTTTTATATTATTTCTCTGGGCGTAGGTGAACACAAGTCTCCGTAGTTCATCTGGAGATAAACCAAAAAACATTTTGAATACTTTTAAAATGTACTCCGTCAATTCTGTTTCCTGTTTTTCAGGAAATACAGGCTTTCAGCCCAACTTTACTTTTTTTGGGCCTGCTATTTTCATTATATCTCATAATGTTGACTCAGGTATACCAAAACTTGAAGCATTAAGTGATGCTTAATAGAGATGAGCTTGCACTTCTTCTAAATGTGCCTATCTTCTAGAGATTTTTTTTTTACTAAAGACACTGAAGTGTACTTACATTAAAATCTGGTCAGTAAGACCAATTATCAATTTGTTTCTTACTTAAATTACTAATGAAAACTTAAAATTAGGTGTCTACTCACTAGTATCTTTCCTATTATTTCTAATAACTAGCATTAAATTTAGCATGCATACTCGCACAACACTTCTCTGCTTTTCACTCACTCACTATACCAGTTCAAAAGGCTTTGTTCTTTTGAGCCTTCTCTCTAGGTTCGTATTGTCTAGGAGCTGAATAGCTTCGACGTTTACATGATGATGGAGCCGCTGTTCATGGCTCCCTGCAAATTTCTTGATTATCTGATTGACATCTTCCATCTTGAGGTCCCGGTGAAGATCGTTGTTCCTAACGTACCAAGGCGCATCTACGATGTTCCTTAGCACTTTATTCTGGAATACCTGGATTACTTTGATGATACTAGGCTTGGCACAGCCCCAGAGTTGGCAACTATAGGTCCATACTGGCCTCAGTATTTGTTTATAGATTAGGAGTTTATTATTTATGGATAGAGAGGAATACCTTCCCATCAACCAATACATTTTCTTGTAGCGGATGCCTAGTTCTTCTCTTTTCTTCTTCACGTGAGCTTTCCAGCGAAGTTTCGCATCAAGAGTGATCCCCAAGTACTTTGCTGATGTTGCAATAGGCACTTGGACATCATTTATTCTAATTGGAATATTATTAATTCTCTTATTGGTAAAATTTATATGGACTGATTTATTCTCATTCAGCTTAATTTTCCATTTTTTGGTCCATTCATGAATTTTATTTATTGAATTTTGTAGATTTTCTGTAGCTTGTTCGACGGTGTCACTTACTGCTAAGACAGCAGTGTCATCTGCAAAGGTAGCTATGGTGTCGTCTTCTAGTTCAGGTATATCACACGTGTATATTAGGTATAGGACTGGACCCAATACACTCCCTTGTGGAACACCTGCTTCAATATCCTTGAGATCAGTGTATGCATCTTCTTGTTTAACTCTAAAATGTCTGTTCGCTAGATATGATTGTAATATATTTGAATATTGTTTAGGCATGAATGATTTAAGTTTATGTATCAAACCCCTATGCCAGACTTTATCAAACGCCTGTGCCACATCTAGGAAGGTTGCAGAACAGACTTTTCTTTTCTCTAATGATCTTTCAATTATAGCAGTTATTCTATGCACCTGGTCAATTGTCGAATGCTTATTTCTAAATCCAAATTAATGATCTGGAATTATTTTCTTTTCTTCAATTATTGGTAGGATTCTTCGCAGGAGGAGTTTTTCAAACACCTTGGACATCACAGGTAGGAGTGATATTGGTCTATATGATGTCACCTCATTGGGGGGTTTCCCAGGCTTTGGTATCATGATCACCTCAGCTATCTTCCATAAATCTGGAACAGTAGAATTGTAGTCTAAAGGCAGCATTTATTAAATTTGTTAATTTTACGATAGCTTTTCTTGGTATATTTTTTAGCAGTCTTTTAGTTACTTTATTGAGCGGATTTACCCACTGCGCGGAATTACCTCCCCCAGGTTCTCCTCTATGATTTGAACCTACATCAGTCCCAGGGTATATTTCGGTACATTTAACAGAGTTACGGTATTTCCTTGTCATCATGATATAGTGTATCTGATTTCCCACAATTTTTTCTGTTGTGTGTATGTATATAGTCTGCGTGGAGGTTGCTAAAAAACAATATTTGTTTCTTAATAATTTAGATTTAATTTTTAAACTTTTGATCTAGTTATCCCAGGCGCAAGAAGGAGTGAGCGCCGAGTTAGGCAGGCTGGACACTGCCAAAGAGACATGTTTAGACAAAATCAACGAGACATTCCAGCAGATACAAACGTTAATGGATCAAAGGAAACAGGAAATCATCGACAGCGTTAATACGATATGTACAGAAAAACGGCGCGTCTTAGAAGAACAACACACTCTTATAGAAAACGAGAAAAATAAGGTAATAGTGTAATTTTACTTTTATCAGTAAGCTAGCTTGGTTTATTGTAAGTTCTTCCCATAGCCTGTTTTTAATGCTTCATTTAAAAACCAAAATTTTATCTTTTGTTTTTTGTACATATTCCCGTAAAAATAGTACGCCACTGGCAAACTGGAAACTTTAGTTGTGTCCATTCTGGTCAACATTTTGAAAATCAACTGCTCCTTCCTTCAGCTTACAAAACGACTTAAACAGGTTTTTTTTAGTGCTGATGAGCAAGCAATGTCTTAAGTTCACAGCTTTTTACATTAAATATATCCACATGATTCAGTCTATTAAATACTTTATTACAAATTTTTAACGTATTATTTATTGGTGATATGTTTCTATAGTAGTTTTTAAAGAATAGATCTAGGTTAGTTATCCGTTTATAAAAGATACCAAAGATACCAATTTTCTTGATATACCAAACTGTACCAGTTTATTTAAAAGAATACAGTGATTTGCCTTATCAAATGCTTTTTCGCAAGCAGTATACAGAACGACTGCCTCATTAGTCTTAGCAATATGTTCAGAGAGAACATAGAGATTAGTTACTGTTGATTTGTCTCTTTCAAAACCATGCTGGAATTTGCTGATTTTACTCTTAACCTGCTCATATATATATATAATATATATATATATATATATATATATATATATATATATATATATATATATATATATATATATATATATATATATATATATATATATATATATATATATATATATATAAACAACAAAGTTTATTGGGGCTGCAGTCAGAAGTTTGGCCGGGATGTTACAGAAACACTCTTTTGACTTTTGGTCTAGCTTTCGGAATTGTTTAATTCCTTTATCAAGACACTGTAATTAGAAAAATGTGTAAATATTTACAATATATCACAAAATATCAGTGTACTTACTAGTCGTTGAGATTATTTGTACGAAGCTATGACACTCAACATTAATAACAAACATATACACTAAAACTTATACAATAATTAATACAACAATACATTTTAAAATTTAGATAAAAATAATAAAAGTTCTAAAAAGTTTGTTTTCTACATCTTCTTGGTGTTGTGTTTTAACTAACCCACAGAGAATAAAAAAAAAACAAAAATAAAAATAGTATGATTAAAAATTCATTAGGAGTTCTTCATATGTTATTAATAGAAGGTAATGTATTAAACCTGTGTTGATGGTATGCAACCTGTTTAGCATGCAGGTGTATTATGGTGTGTATATGTACCAGTAAGTCTTTGTGTCATTTTTGATGTTTAGTCAGTAAATAACAATAAATGTTACTCAATTTATCTATATCGGACTTCTTATTTATACAAGACGCACTGGACTTTATTAAACACATTTCCAGGAAAACACGTTTAGAATGGTTATTTTCCCTTGCCAGAATACAGGAATCCTCGAAATTAAATTCATGTTTTAAACTTAATGCATGTTCTGTTAACGCGCATGCGTTAATTTTTTTGGTTTTTATGTCGCTGCGATGTGAGATCACCCTACTGTGAAAATTACGAGATGTTTCACCAATGTATACGTTTTTGCAATTAGCGCACGGTATAGAATAAACAACATTCGATGATTCCTGTATTGTGAAAGGATCCTTTGTCTTTGTGTACAACTTCGATACCGTTTTCACATTTTTAGTTGCAATTTTTAAGCCACTAACATTTTTGAAAATGTTCATTATCTTAGGGGTTAGGACTGGAATATAGGGTAGGCAACCATACGTTATTTTAGATTGTGGTAGCTCTGATGTGTTGTGTGTCAATGTCGATGTCAGTTGTCGGACCTCATTATTATGAAAATTTTGGTTCTCAGAAAATTGCAACGGAAAAGTAGTACCAAAAATGAGTTTATTTAAAAGCCCTATGGGAGATCTATACTACAAGAGAACTCCTATCCCATTTCTGTTCAATCGGCATATTAAACAAAAACGCCAGAGGTTTAGCAAAGGGTTCGACCATTCCCTTATAGAGGTGGTATTTCATCAGGACATGTAGATTTTTTGAGTTTAAGTTTTTTAATACTATTTACAACATCTAATTCTGTGCTATATTTCAAGGTAAGAGAACCCCACTCAGTACTGTGAGAATGACAACGTGTGCAGTCAGATGTATCATACACTGATGCAAAATATTTAGCAATGGCACTCACAATATCAAAAGGTGTATTAAACTTGGTTGGAGCGGTTGGTGGTCCAAGGAAGGCCTCAGACTCAACGCCAACGCGGAAGATCTCCACAGCGATGGGCGGACATTACTAAAAAGCTTCTCAATAAACAGTATACTGAGGCAATACATATAACTGATGACCGCGATCAGTGGAGAAATATTATCAATCAAACTGTCCGAGCTGCTGAAGCCCAATTATGAACCACAACACATCTACTAAGATGTTAATGACTGTGATGATGATTAAACTTGGTGTTATTTAATGTCATTTCTATGGGAATTCGACTATTCTTATATTTTGACTTAAAGAAAGTCCAGAATTTGTTTGGGTCAGCAAGTAGATGGAAGTTATGCTTATATTTGGTTTAGTTTTTAATATCAGTTCTTAACAGCTGAAATTCAACACTCTTTGGGCTCCCTGAGGCTTTATTTAAACACAAATGATGCAGACTATTTTTCTTTTTAATTTTATGGATCAAATCTTGAGAGAACCAGTTTGGAAACCTGGAAGTAGAGTTGCTGGCCCTTTTTTGGCATTAAGAATAGAACAGTTTAAAAAGGTGTACACTTGAATAACACGCTGTGAGGTTACAAAGGCCATACAATCATCAAAAGATGGCAGAGCGACTGGTCCTGATGAAATTCCAACTGAAATATATAAGCTTATAAAGGATAGCAATGTTTTAGAGGCTATAACTTCGTTTTTCAATACCATTTATACCAGCGGACAACTACCTAATGGTTGGTCTAACTCACTGTTTATAGCTCTACCTAAGAAGACAACAGCAAAAACCTGTGCTGATTATAGAACCATCAGTTTGTTAAACCACTTATTGAAAATTTTTCTGAAGGTAATACATGGTCGTATCTACAATAAATGTGAGGAATACCTGAATGTCACTCAGTTTGGTTTCCGTAACGGATTTGGAACGAGAGAGGCACTGTTTGGAATGAACGTACTTGCTCAAAGATGTCGTGATATATCTGTAGACATATACTGTTGTTTTATTGACTTTCAAAAGGCATTTGATCGTGTTAAGCACTCTATATTGATCGAAGCTCTAAAAGACATTGGCTTGGACGGCAGAGATGTTCGAATAATTGCAAATTTATATTGGAATCAAACAACATCAGTTTTAGTAGATGGTGTGGAATCACAAGCTCTCAATATTAAAAGAGGAGTACGGCAGGGATGCCTCTTGTCACCCCTGCTTTTTAACGTTTACTCCGAAAGAATTTTCAGAAAAGCACTTTCTGAAAAACAAGAAGGAATACTTGTGAACGGCGACGTCATCAATAATTTGCGATATGCGGACGATACAGTACTCCTAGCTTCTAGTCAAGAAGATCTGCAAACACTACTTGATAGTGTCGTTGAGAGTTGTAGGGAGGCAGGTCTGGATCTTAACATAAGGAAAACCAAAATACTCGTAATAAGTAAACAACAGAATATAAAACCGTCTATATGTAAATAATATCAAACTTGAGCAAGTTGATAAAATCGTCTACCTTGGACAGCAATTAAATTGTAATGCAGAAAATCACGGCGAAATTAGATCCAGAATAGAGCAGGCTAGAGCTGCTTTTAGAAGGATGTCCAAGGTGTTATGTAACAGAGACCTAAAATTGGCATTAAGGATCCGCCTACTTCGCTGCTACGTGTTCTCGGTCTTACTTTATGCTGTCGAGTCCTGGACTGTGAATAAAATCGACCTAAATCGCCTTGAGGTTTTCGAAATGTGGTGCTATAGAAGAATTTTAAAAGTTTCCTGGGTGGAGAAGATTCGTAACTCCACAATACTAGAACGTCTCAGCAAGACTACTGAGATCATAAAAAGCATCAAGCAGAGAAAGCTGGAATATTTCGGACATGTAATGAGAGGTCCCAAATATAGATTGCTACAAAACATCATGCAAGGAAAAATAGCAGGCAAACGCAGTCCAGGACGAAGAAGAACCTCATGGTTGAAGAACTTGCGAGACTGGTATGGTGTAGATACAAGCATGCTATTTAGGGTGGCAGTGAATAAAATTAAAATAGCTATGATGGTAACCAACGTTCTGAAAGGACATGGTACATGAAGAAGAAGTACACTTGACTATAAAAAACATTGAAAGCATTTTTAATATCCTTATTTGATGATCTGATTAGGATGGAAAATATTTTGAAACATTTTGTAATTCTATTGGATATTTTCATTATTAATTTAGTATACACAAGATTTCTAGTGTAGAATTCTGCTAAAATGTTTCCTATAGTCTGTGCACATCAACACAAAATGCAATTACAAAGTAGAATTTTACTAAAGTATTTCCTGCAGTGTATGACCACTAATAGATTGTCAATGTAAAGTTTGGTTAGGACTACATTTTAAACAAATATTTTTGGGAAAATTCAGTAAAAATATTATGCAACGCAGCAATTATTAACGAATATTACTTTTATATAGTTGTAAATGTCAACAGCTACCCTAAAGTCCATCAAAAAGATACGAATTAGCTTTAAAAACCTCAAAATTAAATACCAAAACAGTTAATACTTTATTGTGATCTATTCTATGTATATCCTTAGGTAGAACAAGAATGTCAAGGCCTTCAATATCAAGTGGAAGTACGAAACATCACTCAAAGAATAGAAATCCTCTCGGAAAAATTGGACTCCACCGTAGCCCTCAGCGAACCTCGAGAAAACGCATTCCTGACCTGCGATTTCGACTTGAATGACAGCTTCGAACAGATCCAGCAACATCTGAGCGTTCTAGGCAAAGTCAGGACCAGCACCACGTTCCCGAGATTGTGCACTGCCAAGATCGAGGGCAACACTATAGCAGGAATTGAGAATTTCTTCACGCTTACTACAGTGGACTATCACGGGAACGAAAGGAAGAACGGTGGGGATCCCGTGGAGGCTGAATTACTTAGTGCTGCAGCAGAAGAAAGGTTAGCATTATAAATGGCTCGGTATTCAACAACAGTTCTTTTTACTATTGTATTTTTATTATAGCATCAACCCTTCGGAATCCGAAGAAACCTACCCAGTGAGAATAGAAGATTGTGATGATGGTACTTACAAGCTCTACTTTAGAGTTCCTAAGTCTGGCCGATACGGCATTAAAATCTCTGTGATAAATCGCCCGATCAAAGACAATCCTCTCTACTTTGACGTCAGCGACCATAACAACCCTATCTGCGTTTACGGAACGAAAGGAAGCGGGAAGGATGAGTTCATGCAGCCTGTAGCTGTGGCTGTAGACGAGAAGGACCAATCTGTGTATGTGCTGGATACTGGAAACTCGAGGATTAAGGTTTTGACCGATCAGTTGGAGTTCTTGAAGCACGTTACCAATGAGGGGTTGCTTGGTAGGAGCTGTACAGGTTAGTGTAATCTTTTAGAGACCGACCGATTAATCGGCTTCGGCCACCTTCGGCCAATATTTAAACCTTCGGCCAAAATTCGGCTTCGGTCAAAACAAAGCCGAAGGTTTTGCCGAAGGTGACTATAATAATAAATGAAATAATCTCTGAACAATACGCTTCGGCGAGTCTTTGATAATCTGAATAATATTTACACACTATTTTCTACCCTCAACTAAAACGTTTTACAAACTTTCAGGTCAGGTAATAGTAGGTAGGATATAAATTTTAACAATAGGCCAAGGTGTCTTAAAGATCTTCATTTGAATATTTCTCACGTAGTAAAATTATGATAATAATTTTATTGTATTTGTTAAAACTCACGATTACTGGTGTTTTGAATAGATACCTAAATGGAAAAACATCGACCATCGACTATGAATGCAAATATTAAATATTTTACAACAGTTTAAGTTTATTCTCTCGTGGGTGCAGCTTTGCTAATAGTACTTATTTACCCGTGAAATATATATATTATAATTTACGTTGCAAAATCAGTTCAGGTTTTTGTTCTAGTGTTGTAAAAATAACTGGTAAGTCTGTAATTTTTATTTTAATATAATTTTAGTAAATTCAAACGTTTTTAGATAATGTCAATAAAAAATCCAATTTGGGATTATTTTGAAAAAAGTAGCAACAAAGCTGCATGCAAACTATGTTCAAAGTCATTATCACTTGACAGTTTAATACCTAAAAAACAAACTATTACAAACATTAAAAATCATCTACAAAAAATCCATACAGAAGAAGGGAAATCATTTTGTGACATTGAAATGGGAATAAAAGTTCGAAAATTGGAACATATGAAAACTCCACATGATGTTACACAACCAGTTTCCAGGACATTTCAGCCCAACCTACATCAAATAATGGAACTTAAGTCACCTGCTCTATGGCCTGATGATCATCAGATATCATCTAGGATTGATAAGGGTATCATGGACCTTATTATTGTCGACATGTTACCATACTCTATCGTTGAAGGAGAAGCTTTTCAGCGTTTAAATTTTGGAGATCCTAATGTTACTTCCAAATACAGAAGAAAAAAACGGAAAAGTTTTTTAGAACTAGTTTAATGCCAGCTACCTATGACAGAGTTTGGAAAAAAGTATCAAATTTAGTTTCTAAAGCCGAATGGATAAGCTTTACGTCGGATATTTGGAGCAATCCTGCTAAAACCTGTTCTCTTTTGAGTTTTACAGCTCACTTTGTACATGGTTCAAAACGTCTTAAAGTTATATTAGGCGCTAGTGTGCTTAATGATGACCACACTAGTATGTTTATTGCAAGTAAACTTAATGAAATAATTAAAAATTTTAAAATAGAAAACAAAATTCATATAGCTGTAACTGATAACGCAGCAAATATGGTCGCGGCTATTCGTATTACACAATTTACATCTCTAAGATGTGTGGTTCACTCATTACAACTTGTAATTCATGATTCTTTATTAAAACAGGAATTAATTGAAAACACAATTAAAAAATGTCGTAAAATTGTGGGACATTTTAAAAGGAGTGAACAAGCGTGCAGGTACCTGAGGCAGTTTCAACAAACTTGCAATTTGCCACAGCATATGTTAATTCAGGATGTGGAAACAAGATGGAATAGCACTTACCCAATGTTGGAGCGGCTATTCGAACAGAAAGTTGCAATAAATTTGTATATGGCTGAACGTGGTGGTATTGAAGTTCCCAGTTCAACAGAATGGGAATTGATCAACAATTTAATTTCAGTTTTAGCTTGTTTTTACCAAGTGACGCTAGATCTTTCAGCCGATTCTGCTTGTGTATCATTGGTTATCCCACTAATAAAAATGCTAAATGGTAAAGTTTCTGCGGAAGAGCAGGACTCTGAGGAGATAAGTTTATTAAGCTACGACTTCGTGAATCATTAATTAAAAGATTCGCTAATATTACAAATTTGCCAGAATTGTCAATTGCAACTCTTCTAGATCCTCGCTTTAAATCAAAATATTCGACAGACGAGGAAGTAGTTACATATAAAACAAGAATTAACATTTCTACGTGAATCTGATAGCTCCAAATTTAGTTATACAAATAAAGTTCCTATGCCCATCGCTTCAACATCATCATCTACAACTACACATGTAGAAGATCTAGAAAACAATAGTCTTTGGAATTCACATGATACTTTTGTCACAGCCGTTCTAGATACAACAAAAGAAATTCATAACGACAACGATCCCAATGCAGATTACCTAGATTCGTATTTACGAGAGGCTTTGCTTTTAAGAAGTGCCGACATATTTCATTATTGGGAATCAAGTCCCTATATTTCTTTAAAAACTGCAGCCAAAAAATTCCTATCGGCACCACCAACGAGTGTACCTAGTGAGCAGTTATTCAGCTCTGCTGGGCAACTATACGCTGACAGAAGAACTAATTTGTTGGGAGAAAACGCTGACAAGCTTCTTTTTCTTACGTATAATATTAGGATGTTTGATTTCGAATATTAACTACCAGATCCAGTAATCATAAATACTCACTTGCTTTAATGTTTTTTAATGTTATTTATTTTTATTATCGCTTCTATTAATGTATAAATATTTGACTTTTTTATCTCATAATTTTATATTTTTGTTTATCACTTATCAGTTAATAAAAATATAATGCACATTATTTAAATTATTAACATATAATAGGTAATAGGTATATTTTTAGTCACCTTCGGCTTCGGCCGAAGGTATCCTTCAGGCCGAACTTCGGCATCGGCTTCGGCCAAAAAAATCACATTCGGTCGGTCTCTATAATCTTTGACGTGCTAAAAACTAGTTTTAATCGATTATAGTTGAAAAAAATCTTGTGTATTTATTATTAAATACTTTAAAATATTTTTTTTTGTTTTAGGAATTGATATTACAAACAACGGCTTAATAGTGGTCAACTGGAGGACGAAGTATCTCACGGAAATGACTACAGATGGAGAAACTATTAAGTCGTTTACCTACAACGCCTTCCAAGAGCCCATAGATGTAGCCGTGGACAAAAATTACGGGCACATACTAATCGCTGACAATGGTATGAACTGTGTCTTCGTTTTCGACTCCGAAGGGAAGATTTTATTCCAGGTAATCTATATGTCAAAATATAAATAGCTATTACATATTGTATGAGTTGATGAGCACTGCCGGCCACATGCTTTATGCATATCTGTCGAACACAAAATTATTCATGCACAGTTTGGAACACCTGCATCCAAGCACCTTCACTAATTAGTCCTGTACACCTGTCAAATACTGAATTATGAACGTATCTGGCCATCTGCACAAGTTTAATAACCTACATTTATGATGCAATATTCGTTCTAAACGGTTAAATGACGTCTGACCAATATCCATTCACCTACATAAAATTAATGACATACACATCTATTATCTAGATGCTTACCTACAGTCACCAGTAGATTAAGTTAAAGAATGGACAGGAATACTATATTGAGGAAATTGGAACAATATTACTGTGATTTTCTCCAATAAAAAGATTCTAAATTTATTATTTTCAGGTGGGCAAGAAAGGAACCTTTAATCTCATATCATCTGTAGCTGTAGGACCTCTTGGTGAAATCGTCGTGGCCGACTCGAGGGTACAAATGTTCTCCGCTAAAGGAGACTTCATGGAAGTCATCTACGACGAAGGGAAAGGTATTACCTATTTGTCAATACCTTCAAATTTGACTATGTACAAAACCATATTGAGATTTACATTTTCAAACAATTTTTTGGACAAAAATTTATTAAAAAACATTTTAGAAGTAACATTTAAATTGAATTTTTCTATGTATGCTAATAAAACAAGTTCTTTTTATATATAATTATGGGTCAATACCATAATTACTTTTAAAACGAATAAAAAAGTAATATAGTTCTTCTCATGGCAAGTTTTCAATGTTCCATGTATTTTATTGGTTGGCATTTAACAACACCTCAACACCCTCAACAATATAATCGTGCAAATATTAACCGCGCAATGTCAGTCTGTGAGTTGTCCAGGACAAGCGTCGTAACCTGAAAAAAATTATTTGTAATTATATCCGTTTTTATCAATTAAAATATTTCACATTTTTTAAAGTGATAATTATATTCTAGATAAATTTATTTATACATTTGTTCAATAATAAATAATAGTAAACAAACCAATTTACAATACAAAAGTAGTAAACACATGAGTAAACACATTTTTTATCAAATTGCAATAAAATACCAAAATGCTTTAATTTCATAATAGGTGCATAATGGCTAATACAAACCTGCCAGCTGTCAGATTTATTCCAAGTTGTGAGCAATAATTCCTCAATTCTTAAAATACAGCAATAGGTGACGACTGAAAGGAAGCTCTGAGAAGAACCAAAAAATTGTGCATCTTTTATATATCCTTATTTTCCAGTAAATTTTAATTATTAACGAAATAGCCCGCAAGAAGCGCTAAAGGGTATGTATGTAAGGGGTGTCCATTCGAATTTGCCGCCAAAAGATGATTAGTATTGACCCCAGCCGCACGGGGTCCTAATGAACGAAATTTATACATTGAGTTGCCTATCTATGTCTACTATTATTCGCTCCGAGGGTTAACAAAGTGTCAAAGCAAAATCGACTGACCTGCTCATGGTGGCTATAACTTGAAATTTTATCAGGACGCTTTTGTGCATGGTACAATGAACATGTTCATTGTACCATGGATGTTGATCATTGGTTGATCATGTATATATAACCTCACTTTCGTATATTATGATAATAAATCTCTATTAACGACAAAAAATATTTTTGTTGAACTATAAATGTCACTATGAATAGATAACTAATTAATTCTAAAAATTGTATCCGGATATTAACACTACAAAATAAAATATTTAAGTTTAACAAAATAATCCCATAAGACTCAATACTAAAACGTCCCACGGTTCGTAGACTTACTACGGTTGCCTCTTCCGACTAGGGTGGGGATGCTTGAGTTACGTCACAGGAGTACACAAGAATACAAAACCCATTTATTCGCGATTGAAACTGAATGTAGAGGGCAGGTCGATTGCAGTGTCATGGCCGATATAAATGGTATAAACAAAAACAAACATAACATTCGAATATTTACCATTGCTTTTCCATGTTTAGTTTGGTTTAAGACGAATTATTTGTATCATTTAATAATGGAAATTAACCTTAATGATATCTTTGAGAATTGTGGTGAAGCAAAGAGTCCATTGGTTGAAGGGGAAGCAGTTTTCAAGTAATGAATTCCTAAATTTTAACTTTAATGTTTCGAACTGGCTTGTGTATTGATGATGATGAATCCTATTTTGTGTATACCTGGGAACCCAGAATATAATATTCTGTGTAATGTTTGCCTTAACGTATATATAACATATTTGCCTTATATGCATTATTATACCTTATGTTTTTAATATGTTAATTTTTATTTTATACTATTTTTTGACATATGTAAGTACTTTTTTGTATATTAACATAAATAAATAACTTTAACTTGGCTTTATTGTAAAATAGTTCATTTGATTACATGAAATCAACCTACTTTATTTATAAAACATTTTTGTTTTGATACATCCATCCAATCACAGGGTCTGAATGTTAAGATTCAAATTACGTCACAGGAGTACAATCCGGCTTAATGTTCATTGGTTAGGCGGAAGAGGCAACCGTAGTAAGTCTAGGAACCGTGAAAACGTCCTCACAAATCTGACAGCGTGTCACGTGACTGTAAATAGAGGGGAGACCCACGGAGCGAATATTATTTATCTATGGTGTATAACCTTTGCCGACGCTAAAAAATGACAGTGAAAGATTCTTCTATATACGTCTATATTCTTTGGTTTTTTGGTTCAGAAAATAGTTGGGATGGATTATATATGTATTTGACTATTATTTTCTGTTTTTAGGTAAAGGTCGTTACGGCGGCATAGCGATCGATCTCGACAACAAAGTCCTCCTAACAAGAACTGAACAAAAAGGTCGGACCTACGTCCAGCTTCTCTCTCTAACCGAAAACAACGTCAACCAGTGTATAGATTCGCACGATGCTAAGTTGAAGAGACCTAGTGGGGTAGCAGTTACTAACAACCACCATGTAATTGTCGTTGATTTGGGCAATAACTGTGTTAAAAAGTATAGATATTGGTAGTTTTTACAGAATTGTCTCTGTTCGAATCGTTAACGGTTAGATCTGATGCTGAGGAAACTAGATATACAATATATGATATGAAGTTTTTCTGTCTGGCATGCTCGTCTTAATTTAGTGGAAACTAATCCACAAAACAGAACGACAACACTGTAAAATTTTCTATAAACCTGTTTGCTGCTGACCAAAAATTATGATATATTTACTTATGAGCCGAATTACTTAGAAAGCCTTTAGAATTACATTGCATTCGAGCGTGATCTAGACTTATAAGTACATACTAACCGAACCACACACAGTCTAAAGGTCGATTCACACACATCAGTCACGTCACAGTCACGGTACCGAACCGGTCCTATTTGGTCACAGAACTATCAACTATCTGACAGCTGGCAAACTGTTCGTCAACTGATGAGTGTGAATGCCGGCGCCATATTTGTATTAAAGAATATTTTGTATGACGGATTGTTCGATTCGGCGCAATCACTGTGACGAGATGGTGACGAGACGTGACTGATGTGTCTGAATTGACCTTTATACGTTTACCAAAAACCTTTATTTTGAAAATGACATAATAAATGTCATGTATATTATAATTTCAGAAATGGCTGAATTGCCAACCGACGTCACTCAAATGTTAAATCCAAACTTACTCTAATATGAATTTTTCTTAAGGACTAGGGAACATGGTAGATAATAATTTCTCTAACAATTATTAAAGATCTTCTGCTGTTGATCAGGGGGGAAAATGAATCATGATCCACATTTTTGTTGAAGAAATAGAGAAAAGTAAAGCTGATTTATGAGTCAAAGAAATGTTATATAGATGAGCATAGCTTCCAGTTTCCCTAACTCGATGTAAAACCGTTAACTAACTGTGACTTGGTCGATATTATCACATTCGGTTGTGAAATAATAGTTCCCATTTCTACTTACAACATTATTTCGTGCCTATATGCCACTGAATATATTTTTTAAACTAATATACCGTTACTTTGTTTTAAAAGTTCAAATTTCTTTGTTCAATTTGTATAAACACCAATATCTGCTTTGAATATTGCGATAATATAACTATACACTACTCAAACAAATTAGGAATAAAATTAAATTAAATTCTTTATTTTCTTTCTGACAAACATAGTTTGTATAGAATTAGTCATAAATATACATTGCTACAAACTAAACACTAAACTAGACTAAACAAGACATGAAATGAATTTAAAAGCTAAACGAAATACAGCTAATATCTAAGATCTAAAAAATTCTTCGATTGTATAAAACACTTTTTCACATAAAAATTGCTTAAGATTCCTCTTAAATACATTTATTGAACTGGTGGACTTTACAACTGTGGGCAATTGATTAAACACTTGTAGCCCGTATACCCTGGGCGATTTATGTTTAATGTTACCTTTTGAAAATGGTATATAAAGTTTATTACAATATCTAGTATTTAAATTATGCATATCACCACTCGTTTTAAACTGATGTAAGTTATTAAAAATAAAAACACATAATTCAAAAATGTATAGACACGACAATGTTAAAATTTTATATTTTTTAAAATATTCTCTACAACTAGTTAGTTGGGAGACACCAGCGACACAACGCAATATTTTCTTTTGTATGACGAAAATACCATTTGCATAACCAGACATACCCCAAAAACATATCCCGTATCTTAGCCTGGACTCTACGAGTGCATAATAAATCATAATTAGCTGATTTTCCGTCAGAACATATTTTAAATTTCTAATTAGATAGTTAATAGAACTCAACTTCGAAACAACCGCTCCACAATGCAACTTCCAATCCAAACTTTCGTCAATCGTTATTCCCAAAAACTTGCCTGACGACACGGTACCTATTTGCATGTTGTTAAAAGTAAGCTGAAGATTTTCCAAGTATTTTTGTTTATTGTGAAAATGTATAACTTGCGTTTTTTCTGCATTTAGATGCAACGAGTTATCGCAAAACCAAGAATATAAAGATGAAAGAAAATTATTACATTGATGTTGTAGGATTACGTTGGATTTGTTAGATAGAATAATTGACGTATCATCCGCATATATAGTGAAATTTACCGCTCTGTCCACTTGTACGATGTCGTTAATGTAGACTACAAAGAGAATTGGTCCTATTATAGATCCTTGGGGAACACCCATGTTTGTAGTAACAAGACTAGATCTACAACTGGTCACACAATCCTCGATCCTTGTCTGCAGGCTCACATATTGTTGTCTATTGTTTAAAAATGACATAATCCACTTTAAAGAGTTTCCTGTAATACCTATCTGTTTTAGTTTTTTAAATAATATTTCATGGTTTACACAGTCAAATGCCCTACTAAGATCACAAAATATTCCAATAGGACATTCGCCTGCATCAATCAAACTGGTTAAATGAGCATAAAATGCATGGACTGCCGTATTAGTAGATTTATTTTCTTGAAATCCATGTTGATTTATAGTTATGATATTATTGTTTTTTAGATAACCATTTAATCTCTTTAAATATCCATACTCAAATACCTTTGAAAATATACTGGGAATTGTTATAGGCCTATAATTGCTGACCAGTTTTGGATCTCCTTTTTTAAAAATGGGAACTACTTTGCCTGTCTTTAAGTAATTAGGAAAATCCCCATTGCAAAAAGACAAATTGGTTAGATAAGTTAAAGGATTGATTATAAAAGGTAAAACTTTTTTCACCAAAAATGCAGGTATCTCGTCAAAACCACTAGAGGATTTGTTTTTAAGTTTACTCTGGAGGAGTTCGATCAGTTCCTGCCCAGTAAATGGGTACAATTGAAAGAAATTTTCATGATCTGTAATAATTGACTGACTGTCTTTGTCTACTGTATTACCTGGAATTTTCGACACGATATCAATGGGTGCATTTTTAAAAAATGTGTTAAAAGTGCATGCTACCTCTTGGGGATCTGTTATTATATTATTGTCATCATACATTAAAAAAGTATTAGCATTGTTATTAGCACTTTTTGAGAAATCATTGACAACTTTCCACGTGATTTTATTGGGATTATCAGACGAAGTAATGATTTTCTGGTAATAATCTTTTCTTGTTTTGGTCAAAAGTTTTCTATGTATTTTCCTTTGTTGTTGATAAAAATCTCTAAGAATTGGTACTGCCCTTGATAAAGCGTGTAAATTTCTTAATTCAAAACTAGACTTTCGCACTTCACTATTAATCCATTTATTTTTAGTTGTTTTGATTTTTTTCCTTGTTAATGGAAAGCTATTATTAAAATGATACAAAAAGATATTTATAAAAGCTTGAAATGCTAGATTAGTGTCTAAGATTCCATAAACATTATTCCAGTTTTCGTTAATGAGGTTAACGATAAAGTGATTTATCGATTCCTCGCCAAATTGTCTTTTTTGTATAAAGTATGATAATTCCGCTTCAAAGTCAAGTTCCACTAAAACCGTTCTGTGATCTGATACAGTGTTGTCAAGTACACATGACAAACCGGAGTTCGAGAAATTTACAAATACATTATCTAACGTTGTTACGCTGGTATCCGTGACCCTAGTTGGCCAATTGACAAGATTAAAATTAATATTAAAATTCAGTAAAACATTTAGTAGATTAACATGGTCGTTAGTCATATGTCTGGTATCTACATTAAAATCACCACATATTACAAAACGTATATTTGGTTTATATAAACAATTTAAAATACCTTCGAGGTTATTCAAAAAAATACTTAAATCACCAGATGGTGATCTGTAACAATTTAATATAACATATGAATTATTTTTCTTGTCTTTGAAAGAAGTAATACAATATTCAGAATGTTTATCAACACAATATTGCTTTATCCTAGAGTTGAGTTTGTTATTAAAATTAAGACCTTTTCGAACCCAAATTCCTACGCATCCTCCTCTTATTGAGTTATCTCGCAAATAACAACTTGCTAGGATAAAACCTTCAATGTTGACGTTCCCAATAGAATTATTTGATTCCCATAATTCCGTTTTTATGCTCTTATGAGAAGTAAGTTCTAAAATAACATCACAAATTTTATCACTATTTATGCTTTGAATATTTAACAGCATTAAATTTGGATTAAAACTTACCCCTGATTTTGAGGTTGCCCCCGCAGGTATAAAAAACTATTTACACAAGCGTTCTTAGGCCATACTGCAGGATCCATTGCTTTCTTGAAGTGTTCTTGGTGTATCCGTACTTTGAAGGATGCATATAATTCAGGATGACGGGAATTCATCCCCTCACAAATGACCTCTGGAAAATGAGGCTTTAGATGCTGTACAATAGAAGCCGCTGTTGCAGTTGGTTCTATTCTGTATACGTGGAGATCCACAAATTTTGGAGTACCTTTTATCGTGGTATTTGTACTTGTACCTACAATAGCTTGTCTCTGTCTTCTGCTTCTATGACGAACTTCTTCCCATCTGCCGTTGTCTGAAGAGCTGCCTTCTCCTAGGGAAACTATTGACGTCATAATTTTTTCTTGTTTCGTGATAAGATCATTTTTCTTATTGGATGGTTGAGGCATCGATGTAGAGACGGTAGTTGACTTACATTTAGCTTCTTTTTTTTTCTGTAACGTTTCATGATTGTTTTCAATTTCACGATTGTCTTCTTTCTCCGTAGATTTGCAGACATTAGTATTATGAGATTTAACTGTTTTGTCTGAAGATTTGGCAACGTTCGAACTAGAAGGTGCATTTGAAGGAATTTTTGATTGATTTGAAGGAATATACTTTTGCATTTGGCTTTTAAGAGTTACTGTAGATGAAGGCTATTTCACGAGAACTAATACATACTACAACATGGCAACAAAGCGCGTGTTAAAATTTTGTCAAAGGTGAGAAGGGCTGTGATGTCATAAGACTGTTACTTTGAACGGTTACAGTTCTGACGGCAACAAATGTCACATTTTATCCAACTATGAGGCTGGTAAATAAGACAACCAAATATGCTGCAGTAGCTCCCATAAAAAGTAAAGGCGAGAA